AACAAACTTTAGATTTTAACTGTTTATACTGAATGTAAACAAGGTGAGTTCAGGTAATGATGTACATCAGTATATAGTAAGGGCATTTTATGAGATATGTGCCAAATCTGCCAACTAAATCACTACCAAATAATTTCTCCACCAATATGTTTGTAGAGGTGTGTAATAACATGCCTTAAAATGTTGAAGTTCAACTCCCGTAGGAAACCCTGAACAAACCTGCTCAAGTTAGGGTACCGATAACTGATTGTGGAAAAATCGCTTTTTTTTTTTCAAATCAGCCTTAAGTAACTTATGAGGGGTCAAATCAGGGTTTTTTAATGGTTCTGAGTTGATTGTTAACATTTATATTTCACCATGGTCAGTTCATTGTTGAAAAAGGCCACACTCACTTTTACATTTACATTCACTGTAGCTTTTATTTCACATACATATATAACACTCAGTTATTTCTCATTCACATGTCAGAAGCTTCAACAGTCATTGTCTGTGTCTTCCTCAGACTCAACAACATCATGACTGCAGTTTCTGCATGTAATGCCTTTACAGACTCCACAGGCCCAGATGCTCGTGACCCCATTCTTCTTGCAGCTGCACCGCCGGTTGCTGCAATCTCCATGACAATTACAGCTGGTGACCTTCAGTAGCTCCTCAGGAGCCATGGGGTCGAGTGTTGGAACTGGCTCATACCCATGCACACCAGCTGCACCCTCTGTTAGCGGTAGAGTCTCTGGTTTGATCACTCCTGCTGCCGCCTTCCTTGAGAACATGCCGTACCAAATTTGAAATAGAAATACAATTATTATTATTACTATTTTTAATGTTTTTACAATGACAATAATGATGATGATGATGATGATGATGATGACTATTTGTCGAAGTAAGAGCAGTATTATCATGACTACCTGTCAAACAGAGTTGTTTTCCCATGGCCAGCAATTGCAGAAACCGTGAGAGATTCTTCTTAACCACATCAAACAGCTCTTATGACGTCCGAAAGATCCAAGAATCTCTTTCTGAAAGACATAAGGGCTACTTACTCTTGGGGGGTGCTGAGCATTTGGCGACAGGGCAAGAGTAAGCGGGCATTTCCGCCATCAGCGGTCGCAGTACTATATCTGCTGTGGGGGGGGGAGTATCCAGAGATCAAAATTCATATCCTGATTTCAGCACAGCGAACGAATAGTTGGCTATTCAGCTCCAAAAAATAATATTAATAACAACAAATGTATTTCTGTTTCACATCATACTTGACACAAACCTGGTACATTTTTTTAAGGTTTTGTGCAGGGAACGTGGATAAGTGCAATTGCCAGCAATTGCAGAAACCGTGAGAGATTCTTCTTAACCACATCCTGATGTCTGAAAGATCCAAGAATCTCTCTCTTGAGAGACAGAAGGGCTACCTTCTCTTCTGTCATGCCTTCACAGGGTGTGATACGGTTTCTGCAATTGTTGGCCATGGGAACACACCTCTATTAGACAGGTAATAATAATAATACTGCTATTACTTCGACAAATAATAATAACCATCATCATCATCATTAGTGTCATCATAGTAAAAATATTTTAAAAAATAATAAGAAGAAATGTATTTCTGTTTCACATCATACTTGACACAAGCCTGGTGCATTTTTTCAGGTTTTGTGCAGGGGACGTGGATGAGTGCATGGACACCTTCCTTGACACAGAAGCCACCAAGGAGGCAGTGATTCAGGCTGGTACAGCGATTCTCCAGTACATTTGTCATGGACCAGATACTACATTGGGTGAAATTTGGTACAACACGTTTTCAAGGAAGGTGGCGGCAGGAGTGATCAAACCAGAGACTCTGCCTCTAACAGAGGGTGCAGCTGCACAGCCTTCACTCTGTGCCTTCCTGCAGACCAGGACTGGATCCTTCTACAGAGCAGGTCTCTGAACCCCAGTGACTATGGATGGACATTAGGTGTGCATGGGTATGAACCAGTTCCAACACTAGACCCCATGGCTCCTGAGGAGCTACTGAAGGTCACCAGCTGTAATTGTCATGGAGATTGCAGCAACCGGCGGTGCAGCTGCAAGAAGAATGGGGTCACGAGCATCTGGGCCTGTGGAGTCTGTAAAGGCATTACATGCAGAAACTGCAGTCATGATGTTGTTGAGTCTGAGGAAGACACAGACAATGACTGTTGAAGCTTCTGACATGTGAATTAGAAATAACTGAGTATTATATAAGTATGTGAAATAAAAGCTACAGTGAATGTAAATGTAAAAGTGAGTGTGGCCTTTTTCAACAATGAACTGACCATGGTGAAATATAAATGTTAACAATCAACTCAGAACCATTAAAAAACCCTGATTTGACCCCTCATAAGTTACTTAAGGCTGATTTTTTTTTTTTTTTTTTTAAATCAATTTTTCGGCAATCATTTATCAGTACCCTAACTTCAGCAGGTTTTTCCAGGGTTTCCCACGGGAGTTGAACTTTAACATTTTATAACATGTCATTACACACCTTTACAAACATATTGGTGGAGAAATTGTTTGGTAATGATTTAGTTGGCAGATATTCATATGTTTCCCTTACTAACAGAAACAAGTAAAAGAGAGAAAACCACTAAGTGTAAGCCTTTTTAGGAATCACTGCTCTCAATGTTTGTGTGTGTACAGTTCAGTCCTACCGTACTCAAGGCAGGTGGTGAAAATAGGAAGGTTCCTTAGTTCACAGAAGTCCAACTACTGCAAACAGGTTTGGCATCTTGTGAACTGGGCTCCCCATCCAGTACTGGAAACTGTTCTCTCTGAAGTTTCTCTCAAATCGCAATCCTCTGTGATAGTTCTGAGATCTACTCTCAGCTCGCGGCTCATCTGAAGAATGTTTCAACTCAAAATCTTGACCTATAAATATTTATTTATTCTATTATTTAGTTTTGCTCAACATCAATAAAGACATTCAGTCATTCATTTTGCATGGCAGTGGCCATGAGTGGACACTGTTAGAGAAGAAGGCTTTAGGTAAGGCTCTGGATTTTTGGTGTCTTGTAGAGCATCAGTAAACAATGAACAAGGATTGGACAATGAATTACCGTGGATTCCTTTGATGAGTTTATTGTAACTTTTCAGGTTTCATTCTGTTTCTCACTGAACGGCTAACACCGTCTCTTTCAGGTGTAGCATTTTTACTTGGGCCCATATCACTGGCTGGCTGACACATTCTTTTTTCCTTACATTCACAAGAGCATCTTTCCCATAGTCTGACAGTTTATCAAGTGGATTCTCTTCGCACTTGGGCGCATCAGCAGCGGGGTCTCCCTCATCCACTGGAGCAGCGTTGGGTGGGGTCTCCTCAACATCTTCTACAAAGTCAGGTAAGTTCTCGTCCCACTCTGGATCATCCATGGGGAGTTTTGGACTGGCAACAGGTAAGTAAGTTTGTGTATTTATATTATTATTATTATTATTTTTTAATTTTTTAGAATCAGAGTCATTTGTTGCTCTTGAAATCTTACACACAGTGGTGAACCTGGTGATTTCCTTGGCAGCTTGTTATTGGGACCATGAAATATCATCCTACATGTCGGAGTACGCACTCATATCCTCATGTTCATTAGACTGCCCGGTCCTTGGCTTGCGTTCATTGCTAAGCACTAAAGGCCTTTCCTCATTGTCTTCATCTGCTTCCACATGGGAGTAGAAAGTCTCAATGCACAGTTCACAGAGGACCCTCCTTATTCTGTGGCTGGACTGTGTAGACTGGGAGATCTCCAGCTCGTGTCTTTGCTTTGTAAATTCAGATGTACTGTATAGTAGGTCCATATCCAGGCGGGGGCTGTATTAGCAAGCAGTCAAACCAGAAAAATTGTCGTACAATATGACAATATTGGGTCGCCTTCTTCACGTGAAAGAAACTGTCTGACCACTCCCCTTATTAATCCCATTTCTTCTAGTGTCGTTGCTTCTTTTAGTCCAAATAGAAACCATTCAACTCATTTATTAAGTGCTTTCTATCAACATATGAGTGGATAGATTTTTGAAGAAAGCAGTTCATTCCTTTTCTCCACATATCTTTAACTGAACTGCAGCATTACAAATCAAGTTTTTTTTGAGTAGCTCTGAGAGATCATGGTCAAGAGGTAAAAATGGAATACAGTAGTCCATGTGTCAGCTTTAAGGCTTATTTAATCCAAATAACTTCGTAAACTTGTGTCTTGGTACAGACATTTGACCTGCAGCAGCATCCACTTATCCAGTTGCTATTGCTAACCTCTTCGCAAACACCCTACATCTTACACATTCACACCACAATGGTAACAATAATAGTAAAGCTGTGCGTGTGTCACCCACTTCATAATTGTAAAGCTAATTTTCAGTTTGACTTAAGCTCAGGTTTATTTTCCTTCTACTGTACTAATGTCAAGGATGGGTGTCGGGTCTCAGGGCATCATAAAGCATAACTACGCTTGATACATGATACTCTGTTAAAGCTGCATTTACAATAATTTAGTTTTAGCAACAGATCAAATGTTAAAGATGTCACTTGTAGCGACAACCTATTGAGAATTATCCTCCAAAACCACCAGTTCCCTCAGTTCTGCAGTTTCCTGTATTTAAGCCCATTACGTCGGTTTTATGTCCCAAATGTTTACTGTTTTGGTTGACTCTCACTGTCAGCTGCAGACATTTTCAGCAAAAAAGCTTTGAAAAATGGAACACTGAACATTACCTGATATGTCACAAACAACAGACGCACAGTCATTAAGCAGCTGGTGGACACAGAAAAACTTAACAGTTGAAGAGGTTGACAGTGGCTGCATTCTTTCTGTAATCTAAAGCGTTACCATCTTACTCCTCTTAATTAACGACTGTAAAGAAGTAACATGTTTTTCTTTTTAAACATATTTCCACTCTACAGCCTAAGTTGACTTGCATAACTTTGCTGGTGAATAAAATACACAAGTGAATAAGTGTCAAACTGTGAAGCTGAACTGGCAGATGAAACTGCAGAAACAGAGACCAGCTTTTGAGGAGACATTCAGATGACTTTATTTATTCTCCATTATGCTTGAAGTGTATATTGGACACCAATAGTAATTACACAGATGTATGGGGATTGTGACAGAATGCTAACAACCAAATATGTTACACTGTTTGTGTGTTACTGAGATACGTAATGTACACAAACGGTACTTCATTAAATGCTGGTTTTTACATGACACTGGAATCAGCGATGTCATCAGGACTGATCACACTTCTCTCCTCAAGCTGCAAAAGAAAGAACAGAAAGTAATAATAAATAACTAACTCAAGAATTTCAGTAGTCTTTGGCTTAATCCTAAATTATAAAATTATTGGTTGATACAATGCAGTGCATGTATGTTGGACAGATCATTTAATGTTAACTGAAGACATGATTTTAACATTTAGGAAAAAATGTTGGCTATGAAATACATTTTCTGAGAAATGTTGTGATGTCATTTCAGTTCGTTACCTTTAGCATGATAGATGTAGTCTGTCTCGGCATGGTCACCTGAGGGAGAAAAAAAAAGTTATAGAATTTTTATTTTTTATTTTTTTTTGCTGTGTGTCCAACACATTTAAAACGTGGTTTAGGGATTGAGGGTTTTACTTGGTTGGTAGTAGTCATAGATCTTGACCACAGCAGGCTTCAGGTTCTGCACTGGGATCTCCTGTCTGAGCTCCAAGGTGTAGAAGATGGGTATGGCCTGTGGTAACTGAACAGGACAGAAAAACAGATGACAAAGTCAGCATCAAGTTCAAACAGCATTATGTGGTAATCCGTACTGTGGAGTACTCTCACCTCTTGTAGGTACACCTGAACGCCACCATCCTTTTCTTCAACACGATCCACTAGCACAGCACCTTTGAGCTGTGAAGAGACGATATTCTTATTTTCATCATCATTGTCAACATGACTTCAGAAACTGACACATTCTTACTACTCTTCTATTTAGGTGAAAGTCACTGTAAGAACTCACCCTCCTCAAGGACTCTGAGTCTGGGACAAATCCAGAGAGTATTTGGATATCCAGGATCACCATGTTTGTATTGCTTTCCTTTCCATTGTATCTGTAACGGAACCAGAACATTGTGATGTTACTTCATAACTGTGTGAAAAGAGGCTTTTTAGTCCACCCACTGGTGCACACTGGTAGATACAAAGATCTTCCATCATATCTGTATCCTGCTTGTTGACTACTTACTGGACCTTAAACTTCAAAGTAACCTTTGGTCTGGTGCCCCTGGTGGAGTTCACCTCTACAACAATCTCCAAACTGAAAGCGCTGGATGTAGCAGGAGGCGGGACATTGTAGAGTTGAGTAATCTGGGAAACAGGTAACCAAGAAAGGTTTGAGATTCATTAAAGTGAACCAAAGCATCAAGCATAGAGACATAGGTGTAGATTTCAGTGGGGATTCTTCGGCCTCTGTACTTTTGTTCCCTGCTAGTACAAACAAGAAACAAACTAAGGGCTTTTATTTTGAAAAGACACTAACAGTTATTCATAACAAAAAATTATGTTCGGGCTAAAAGAAAAAACAAAAAAACAGTCTTTGAGTATAGCAATCTCTTTTAATTACAACAACTTCGGATGCCATTATGTTCAACCAACAAAGTACATTGGGTTAGGGTATGTTCTTTCTGTCTACAATCAAAGGTATTTAAGTATATAGATTGACAAATTTAAAAAATCAAGTTGCCCCAAATGTTACATAGATAGGGGAGGAGTATAACAATCCTTACCTTAATGTGAAGAAAAACAAGATTGCCTTGATTTGACTTTAGTTTTAAATCAGCAAATGCAGAAATTTGATTTTAAATTACACGCAATATTAAATTGGTGTGATGACCAACATTTTTCAGTCAACGGAATCCATCAAAATAATGTTTGCAACCTTAAAGGTTTATCTAAATCAGTAAATTTGAATTTATCTTGCATCCATACATTTAATTTAGTAGTGGACATAGTTTGTTGAATCACACTTCAGAGTGTAGATACAACAACATGTGGGACATGTTAAGAATGTGCAGAAAGTTGTAAAGGCCATTCATAAATTAATTAAAATGATCTAAGGTAGACCCTGCTTAGTTCTTTCAGTGAATTAACCATTTCAATGACTGCACTCCCTAAGTGCAAATATTTCACCAAAACAACACTATGTTGCATGGGCACCTTTGCAGCATTCTGGACTTGGCACCATCCAGCATGAATGTGATTGGTTTACAGAAACACAGAAAAAAGCAGAAAGATAATGACGTGTGGGCAGACCATTCTCCAGCACTGACACAGCGCTGTGTGGTGTGTGTCATGTCCGTCAAGTTTACGTTTTATGTTTGCACATTTCATGTCTTGTCTGTGCTGTTTTGTTTTGTAATCACTAACCTGTTGTCTCTGTTGTAGATTCACTTGCTGCACACCCTTCCCCGTCTCGTCACACCTGCTCCCTGATTGTTCCCCTCACCTGTTTCCCATCTTCCCTCATTATCTCTTGTATTTTACCCTGTGTGTCTCACAATCTCGTTGCCAGTTCATTGTACTTCACGGTCCTCATCCCAGCGTTTCATAGTCAAGTCATAGTCTGTTTTGTGTATGACCTTGTTTTCTGTCTTCGACCTTGCCTTTTTGCGTCCCGTCTTTGGATACCTCTGCCTTGCTGATTGATCATCTGTGTACCGAATCCCGCCTGGTAATAAATCTGCTTTTCTGCCTGAACCTATTTGTGTTGTGCAATTGTGTCCACCTGTTCCGCGCTTTGTAAGTTCTGACAGTATGGCTCTGTGAGTCTAATGTCACACTGATACTGTTCACTGACCTGCACTGAAGTGCATGCAGTGCCCTGCACCTCCAGGCTGAACTTTCCCGTCACGTCCTGCAGGATCCTCTCCTGGTAGAGCAGTTTGTTGTCCTGATTCACATTAAATGTCAGCTGTTCACTCGGAGCCTGGACTTTCACTGTGCTTGAACCCTGAGGACTGTACACCAGAGTGGCATAGAGAGCCAGAGCCTGAAGAGCCACTACCGTGTCCTGCAACACACACACAGAACAGCAGCTGATATTAACAGCGTAAATTCATACAAATGTAAACACTGTATGAGCAAGTGTCACATTCAGGAGTCCATATTATAGGAAACATTTAAAGAGCATCATTCTTTAGAGGTACTTCAGCAAAAAGCATATTTTAGTTTTAAGAATGTGGACATATTTTGCATGTTGTCAGATTTAAATATCTCGAGTCAGGTCAAGTCACTGTTATTTATATAGCACATTTAAAACAACAGCCGTTTTACTAAAGTGCTTTCCAGTAAAAAAGAAAAAGAATATGATTGGTGATACCAATTAATCTAACAAGTCTAAAAATATTAATTATATTAATATTAAGTTTAAATATATTAATAATATTAAAATCAGGGCTCGGTGGTTTGCACCGTCGCCTCGCAGCAAGAAAGTCACCAGTTCATGTCCCAGTGACGACACCCGGGATCTTTCTGTGTGGAGTTTGCATGTTCTCCCCATGCGGCGTGGGTTCACTCTGGGTTTTCTGGCTTCCTCCCACACAGTCCAAAAACATGCTGAGGTTAACTGGTGATTCTAAATTGTCTGTAGGTGTGAATGTGAGTGTGCTTGGTTGTCTGTCTCGAAGTGTAGCCCTGTGATAGACTGGTGACCTGTCCAGGTGAACCTGCCTTCACCCTAAGTCAGCTGGGATAGACTCCAGCCCCCTGACCCTAGTGAGCATTAAGGTGTATAGATGATGGATGGATGGATTTATAGGCTAAGAAAAATCTACTGTTTCATAAACAAGGTAAAATGTGTAAAGGTCACTAAATTTGCTTAAAAATTCATAAAACAAGGCAGTTTCTCATTAAAACTTGGCATTCTGGAAATAGTTGGTTTTCACAAGACGGCAAAGCAGGACAGCAAAGCTTCCATACTGGGTCTCAGCTGGTCTCACATGTAAATGAACTTTAACAGAGCTTCTATGTCCACATCAAAGTGCCGATTTGAGCCATTCAAGCTGCGCAGTACCTGAGTGGAGGAGAAGCCTCCGTAATAGTTCTGCTGCCTCGTCAGCCACCTCACGATGCTGGAGGCATATCCCAGTTCGTCGATAGACGGAGAGGCACTGAGTTTGGCCATCAGCACATAGGAGGTGATCTCCACAGACAGAGAGGCTGTTTCTGCTGATTTGTGGGACCAGTGGAAGAAACCCCCTAAAAACAGTCATCCACAAACAGACACAGTGTAAGTCACAGTCACAGTAAATCTGAATGATTTCCTGCATGAGGATGATTCACCTCTTTTTATTGCAACTGTGTCGAGGTGATTCAGAAGGAGAGCACGGGTCTCCATGTCTCCCGCCAGAGAGAAGACGTACGCCATCAGAGCTGTGGTGTAGGTGTTGCTGAAGTCACTGACGGACTCCTTGAGGCACGACAGGCTCTGCTTCACCACAGGATTCTGTAACAGATTAAAAGAACACATTATTTAGCCTTTTAGGGCAGAGATGTGGTAAATTAAAGTGTTGACTTCCTGAACTTCAGGGTTAGGACACTGTGTTTGATTACTGTGTTAACAAGTTCTCATGTTCCTGGGGCCTGTACTATGAAGCAGGATTTGGAGTTAGCGAGGTAACTTCAGGTTAAATCCTAGGTTTTCGGTCCTACGAAGGTGGTTCAATTCTTACTGGGGTACATCACCATGGTAACTTATGCTGAATGGCTAACCTGCTGTGCCGCAAGTTATGTTGGAGATTGAGATCACTGGTATAAAAACACCGCCCACTAAAAGTCAGTTCTCTCCCGTAAAACTTCAGAAGGCGCAGAAAACGAAGCACTTCTCAAAAAAATGGCATCACCGGCATTAATAGAAGACCTGCTACACATCGGAGCGTGAACTGTGAGGGATCACTGAGGAGTGTGAGGGTTTTTAAGGACCGGCAAAACAGCACGCCCTGACGAGGATCTCTATGAGCTCCTGTCTTCCTTCATTCATTTTTGTCCCTGTTGGCTACAGGCAATGTCAAAGCTATGTCATATTTTTTTTTCCATACCAATCACCCCACAACAGTAAACTGACTTCAGCATTAAAGCTTGTATTTGTAGGATACGTTAATAATGAATTATGTTTCTGTTTGTTCTCAATTTTTTCCCACGTCCTTTTTACACTGCCAGGATCACAGCTGAAAGTAAAAAAATGTCAGATATGCCACAAGTATATACATTAGGCAACATATTAGTTAAAGGAATCCTCAGATTGTCTTATTGATATCTGATTGATTATCTGATACGATCAGTGATCATATTATATTTTATTATAAACTAATGAACGTATTCATCCACACAGGCAGCAGCTTCCTGCCAGCATTCCTTCCTGGCTTTGGTCACTGCAACCCTGCTGCTTTTTCCTCCTGTGATGTTTTTATATTATTCTTCATATTTTGTAAAGATTATATTCTGCTCCTCTGTGGTAAAGTGAGCCGCTCTGCAGCCAGACTTGTCCATAGTTGTGATTGGTCACATGCCGATAACTCCACCCGTTTTATGTGCACATGCTCATACTCTAATCAGACAACCCTGGGTTGACTTACCGAGTTGATAACCACCGTCGTAGGACCGGTTATCCTGAGTGCGACTGTTAGGGTTAGTCAAGCTGGATCTCTGAAACATATCCTGGGTATGTTGATCACACTTCGTAGTACAGGCCCCAGGACTTCAATAGATAATGATCATAGTACTTAACTCTACCCAGGGACTGGGCAGCTTGCAGAAGAAATGAGCTATGAAATGGCCTAGTCAAGAAAAGAGATTCACTGAAATGTGGCGAGGGAACTTGAACCTAGTAGCACATGTAAGAAAACATCCAAACAAAGTTACTTATGCTTAATGGGGCAATACTAGCTTTTGACGCCAAAGGAACATCTACTCTTTCCACAGAAATATATACATTACATCTATTGATGTTCTGCTTGAATAAATGATTGAAAAACTAGTTATCCTTGCATTTTCTTTCAGCGACTTACCTTTATTTTTCAACATTGTTTTTAAAGAGGGTCAAATGTTTATCCAAATATGTTAAAAAGCAAACACTAGTCAATCCACTATGTCCCTAATGTATCACATGACAGTAAATATGAGTATTTTAAGAAGTCTGAAGACATCATAGACTGAAAGGATGCAATAAAAGAAGGAGAAAATAATTCATGTTAATGTAAATCTTCTAGTTCTAAGTTCTAAGTTTTTTCCAAGCGGTTTACGAGATTATTTGAGTCTACTCACCTTAGCAGACACATTCATCTCCAAGAAGGCAGCAGTGATGTATGCGGTGAGAGTCACCTCATCAGACACACCGCCCTGTAGGGAGAGAACATCGTACAGACTTTGTCATCAATGTAACTGCAGCATTCAGGGACCTGAATCCCAAAAGTCATTCTGAGCAATGCTTATAAGCCTATCGCAATTGGAGGTAGTTTGTTTCACAGATGACTGAGACTTGCAATAAATTTGGGAGTCCCACAGAGCTGTTGCATGCTCTGGCAGGAGTCGTGCTGACAGAGCTGAAACCTGCTAAATCTAGCTCGACTGCTTCAGTAGAAGGCGGCTGGACATCTTTTGGGTCTCAGGTCATTACAAGTCTGAATTCATGTGAGTTGGGAGTGATAACAAATACCTGGGACTCCCCACCAGTTTGTTAGGGCCAAGCTGCAACCTCTGGGGCTGAAAAACAAAGTGTGCCAAAATCTGCATTTCCCTAAATGTCCACTTAAGGAGGTTTACTCCAAAAGTGAGTCAATCCCCATTGATCTCAATGTCAAAATGTCCAACTTTACAGCAGCATAAACATGTTTACAGTCTGACACAAAAACTGTTTTAGTCTCTACAGTTTACGTTCCCATTCCTGACATCAGTACAGAGGCTTAATTATATCTAACACACCCACTTACTTTGTAATAATTCTTAAAAATATGTATTATTAAAGGGTGCAATCATGGGACTGTCCATGGTCCAGAGTCATTTGTTGGAACACCTCAGCTCCACTCATACTTCACCTCATTGCTCATATTTGAATTAGCCAGGAGGTATAAGGAGTCGGGCGCTGCCAAGATGGCACTAGCTACAACCATCACACTGAGCTTAAAAACAGCTGCTCAGAAAACCCATGGGTGGCATCATGGATGGTCTGTCCATCTGTATATACATTGTTTGGTTAGAACTGAGGAACCCTCTCACATAGGAGGCAAGATGTCTTCAAGAACCAAAATGAAGTCCAGTTGTCTTCTACTGAACCACTTAGGATCACCATGATGACTTGTGAGACTGAACATCTATACAGACACCATGAAAGGGAATCTTCTCATGCTGAAAATCGCTGCTTGCGTGTTGGAAATGTGACCCAGGCTGGTGTTATTTACTACAGATCTATGAATAGAAGCTGATTTAGATACTTCTACAAGAAGATGTGAACATGACCATTTCCATACTGTACAAACTCTACAGGGACCATTAGCTTACCTTCATTCTGTTGTTGAAGAGTTTTCCTGACTGTTGGAAACACCCATTTTCTCGTTGCTTTGCTTCCAGCCACGTCCTGGACTCTTTAATCTTTTTGGGATCGATGTAGATGAAGGACTTCGCTTTGGCAAAAGATCTCAACACAAAAGCAGTCAGCCTAAGGAAACACATAGCAAAGTTACAAACAGATGTACAGACTCATATCCATTAAGTACTGAAAATAGGTTATAATTAAGGTTGTAGGTTAAGCTGATTTATATATTTTTAGCAGTTCACATGAACATGTTGGTGAGCAGATGGCAGTGTTGGGATGTAACTCAGTACATTCACTCAAGTAGTGCACTGTAGAGCTGCCAAGACCGGTCCACATAATCAGTGAGATCCACACTAATATCAGTATTTTTAACTAGTGCATGATTTTTCTTATTTCAATTTATTGTAGCAAATATAGCAAAAAAAGGCAACAAACCCCAAAACCAAACAAGATGGCGGTGTGCGCTTTTTTTTTTTAGTGCCCAATTTTTTGCTTCATTGTGTGAATCTCACCTACCTCCAATACCATTTTGATCATAGGTCTACAGTGCAGTCAGGCTGTTGTGAATTTCAAGTGAATGTCCTCACTTGCACAATATACCTGGGGACATAGCCAGGTTACTGGGCTCTTCGTGGGGTATTGTTGCAGTCACAGCTTCTAACATTTTGTTAATGCTAGCATACTTGCACAGTGCCATAAGCCTCAACAGAGCACATATCTAGGAAGTTCATATCATAGCTGGGTATTTTAGCCACGCAGATTTAAAGAAAGTTCTTCCCAAATTTGAACAACACATTAGCTAAACAACAAGAGGGGAAAAAAACACTAGATAAAGCTGATTCTGACATCAAGAAAGGCTTTAAATCAATACCACTTCCACACTTAGGCCAGTCAGATCACTTGTCCATAGATTTAACCCCAGCACACACCACCCCTTAGAAAAAAAGCTCAACCCACCACAAGAACTGTGAAAAAAAATGGCCTGAGGAAACTTCCTTGCAACTGCAGGACTGCTTTAAAAGGAAAAAAAAAAATTGGGACATCTTTGAGAATTGGGACTCATCAACTGTACTCTACTACATACAGAACTACACGTCCCGGTGTACACCAATCAGAAGCCATGGATGACAACAGAAGTCAAATCACTTCTCAAGGGCTGTAACACTGCCTTAACGTCTGGTAAGAGGGCTCTATACAGTGCTGCTGGAGCCAGCCTGAAGAGAGGGTCTACAGGAGGAAGATTGAGGACTACTTCAACAACAACAACCCCCAGCGGGTGTGACCAACAACCTCACAATTGCTAATAGTGGCACATCACTGGCAGAGGAACTCAACTGCATCTTTGCCCGCTTTGAGGTACAAAACAGCAGGCAGAGACATCACTCCTTACCCTGCCCACTTTAGAGCCACACCAGCTTGCCTACAGAGTCAACGGGTCTACAGAAGATGTCATCGCCACATCTCTTCACACTGCACTGACCTTCCTTGAACACCAGGTGAGCTATGTGAGGAGGCTTTTTATAGACTTTCAACAGTCTTCAACACTGTCATCTCCAGCAGACTGGTCTCTGAACTGAGTGACATACGACTTTCACAGCCCACCTGTCACTGGAACCAGGGCTTTTCAATCAACTGCCATCAGATGATCAGACCAGACAACCACCTCTCCTCCACCATCACACTCAGCACTGGCTCCCCACTGAGCCCCATCCTCTACTGACTGTAAACATAACACTGACATAACTCCATGAATGTGTTTGAACTTGTCTCAGGAGGAGACGAGTCCACCTACAGAGATGAAGTCCAAAGACCCATGGTGTGGTGTTCAGAAAGGGGCAGAGGTGTTGGCAGGGGTATTAGTCAGAGTGTGGTGTGTTTGTATGTATTGACAAATATATGTGCATGTCTGTCTCCACTCATGTTCACATGTACATAAAGGCCTCCAGACAGAATATAATGCTTTAGACCTTATAAGTGCAATATAGATATTATGTATCTCATACATTTCTGCTAATACTTATATACTTTTACTTAAGTAAGATTTCAAAAACAGGACTTTTTTATGCGTGTAGCATTTTCAAAGTGCAGTATTAATGGTTTCACTTGAGTAAAAAAATCTAAATATTTCTTCCACCACTGGCAAATTGGTTGCATTATTGTGAAGAACTATTGGATTATATTAGAATATTTAAGGACGAGTCAATCACATTTCTCCAATATGCAAAATTTTCAGTAGAGTTATTGACAGTGCAATCACATCAGCTGCAACCTCAGCTCAGTCTGTACTACTGTAGTAGATATAAAGGTTTTTGTTTCTGAGTTAGTATGTAGTAAAGAAATGGTACATGTTGCACACCATGTATGTCTGTGTGTACATTGTGTGTGGATGACTGATTAGTAGTTTTCTCACCAAGTGTTTCCTGTTCCTGCACCAAATGTACTGAATGCCCCATCCTGATGTTTGTAGTTCAGCTGTCTCTGGTACCCTGTGTGACAAGAGAAACACCTAAATTAGGACATTACTGACACGTGTTGTCAGATTTAGTAGGATTTTTGCTAAGTGGCAGTGGTTATGTTTTCTGGAGATGTAAAGAAAAACTGGGGGCAAATTTGTGCCATTGGCTGACAAATGAGAGATAAAAAGATATGCATGGAGAGAGAGGAGGAATGATATTCAACAAACACAAGCAAGAAATGCTATGATCTGAACCATCTGTAGCCTCTAGTTGGAATCATGAGCACCGTCACAGCACCATCACATGGTAGATTCAGCTGTTCTGAATGTCTTAAATGTCCGACTCACCACTGGACAGGAAGTTGAAAGCCTTCTCTTTAATGGCTGGAGTCAGCTGCTCTGTGTTTTTTAGATACTGGAGGATGTAGATGTTGGGGGCCAGGAGCGCCATGTTCTGTTCTCCACATCCATAAGGCATCCTCAGAAGACCATCCAGGTTCTTCAAGGCCCGGCCGAGGATGTCACCTGTACAAAAACACCATATCACTAAGACTCAGCAACCAACCCAACCTGTGATTTTAACTGAATTATAGAAATGTATGTATCCAGACAAATTCACCAGCATACAGGTGGTATAAACCAGGTCAACGAGTTTAGAAAAATACAATTGGAAGTGCACAAAAAGGCCCCCTGATGAATCGCCACCCCCCAATGAATCGCCACCCCCCGATGAATCGCCACCCTATCACAGTGGAGGTTGTGCAGTGCAGTTTGAGTGTCCCTGTGATCCTGTGAGCTATGTTGTCTGGGGCATTAGCCCCTGATAGGGTCTCCCAAGGCAAATTGGTTCTGGGGGAGGGACCAGACAAAGAGCGATTCAGAAGACCTTGATGAAAAACAAAGAAAGGAGAGGCGCCACTTTGCCCGGAAAAGAGAGGGGGAGCTCGCCGGGGAGCGTTTGGTGGCTGAGCCTAAGGGCCCCGTGGGGCTTGGTCGGGCACAGCCCGAAAAAGTAACACAGAGCCACTGCCTAGAGGGCCCACCAGCAACGGCTCCGGAACCAAACCCCTGGAGAGGGGTTGGACTCTCTCCTTTTCCGGAGTTGCCCACGGTGACAGGCACCAGGCAGGTGTGGGATACTCACAAGCACTCGGCTGAACGCTGCCATGTTGGAGTTCTCCCTGGAGAACGAGAGGGTCGCCTCTCTGCAACTGCATGTTGTAGAGGGGAAAACTCTGACTGTCGTTTGTGCTTATGCACCAAATGGCAGTTCAGAGTATCCGGCCTTCTTGGAGTCACTGGGTGGTGTCCTGGAAGGGGTGCTGCCTGGGGACTGGGGGATTTCAATGCTCACGTGGGCAATGACGATAAAACCTGGAGGGGCGTGATTGGAGGAATGGCCTGCCTGATCTGAACCCAAGCGGTGTCTTGTTTTCGGACCTCTGTGCTAGCCACAGACTGGCCATAACAAACACCATGTTCAAACATAAGATTGCTCATAAGTGTACCTTAGGCCAAAGGTCGATGATTGATTTCGTAGTCACATCATCAGATCTGCGGCCATATGTTTTGGACACTCAGGTGAGGAGCAGAGCTGTCAACTGATCACCAACTGGTGGTCAGTTGGATCCAATGGCGGGGAAGGCTGCCGGACAGACCTGGTAAACCCAAACGTCTAGTGAGGGTGAACTGGGAACGTCAGGCGGAGGCCCCTGTCCTTGGGGCTTTCAATTCCCACCTCCAGAAGAGTTTCTCCTGCATCCCTGGGCAGGGTGGGGACATGGAGTCAGAGTGGGCCATGTTCAAAGCCTCCATCGCAGAAGCGGCCGTCAGGAGGTGTGGCCAGAAGGTCACTGGTGCCTGTTGTGGCAGCAACCGCAAAACCTGCTGGTGGACACTGGCAGTGAGGGAAGCCGTCAGGCTGAAGAAGGAGACCTTTCAGGCCTGGCTGACTCGAGGGTCTCCTGAAGCAGCAGGCAGGTACTGGCTGGCCAAAAGGGCTGCAGCTGCGGCAGTGGTGGAAGCTAAAACTCGGGTGTGGGAAGAGTTTGGGGAGGCTATGGAGAAGGACTTTCGGTTCGCCTCGAAGAAGTTCTGGCAAAACCGTCCGACGTCTCAGAAAGGGAAAGCAGGGATTCGCCCAGGCTGTGTACAGTCGGGGAGGAGAGCTGCTGACCCAGACTAGTACTTCAAAGTACAATATGAGGTTTCCTGTTCATATTGTGACTAGACTTCCCAATGATTAACTGTATTTATATAGTGCTTGTATGTATTTATAAAGCCACTATAATCAATATTAAGTCATTGTAACTGTTGCGTGTAAATTACTGTAATTTACTTCTTTTGAAATCTATTAACTGTGAATTGCCGACCTATACCATAAATACCAGTGTGTCTTTAATTTTGACGATCCAGAACTTAGACAGAAAAACTTTAACAATTAAAAATGCAATACCTCTAAAACACCTAAAACCATAAACAGTAAAGGCTAGGGCAAGACACATTTTTATGAACTAGGAAAATGTATTCAAAAGGTAACAATGTATAACAACATTCGTTCTCCTGAATATACTCAAGAAAGCAAGAAGTAAATTGCAGTTAATCATTTCAACAAAAAAGGAACTCTTAAAGGCAACAGCGATAAGTTCGGAATAATATTCTTAGCTGCCTAAATATAGCTGCTGGTTTAAACATTCATGTTGTGCTGTTGTGTGAACATTTCACACCATCATATTCTATAATAGCCTGCTGTTAATTTTGATTCTTGTTTCTGGCTCTCAGGAAGCATCAGATTTTATACTATTTTACAGTATTTTGTTTCTGTTGGTATTTACACAGGGATTCATTACAGTGACGCCTTCAAGGAGCCTGTTTTACTTCCCACACGTTAAATGAATTCATCAGTTTACCCAGGACTGATACTACAGCGCGGGCAGATCCTTCAATCACATCTGCAGGGAGTTGTAGCTCTGTTTCTTCTTTCAAAGTGGCTCCTGTGTACAGACAGACAGAGAATTACTTTACAGAGAGAAACTCAATTGGTAACAGCCATACTGATAATTAGATGCCACAAGTGAGAGGTCTTTGAGCATGGTCAGTTGTTTTATCACTTTGATCAAATGTTTAAAGTAATTACATTTAAACATGGTGATACACATTTTAGTTAACATTTTTGAATCATATATGTACTAGACCCCTCCAAACTTCTCACATTTAGGTCTCCATTTTCAGAGTATTTGACAGGCCATGTCTGGAGTAAACCACACTGACCTTTGGGACAGAGCAGCCAGTTATGCGTGTCCGTCTTCTCAACTCCCTCAGCCTGAGGGAAACAATGGGGGAAATAATAACTAGAATGAGATTCACTGTCAACTTTGTGAGTAAAAATCCATTATGAAATCCCTGTACATAAAGAAAAATGGCTGGCACCAACCTTTACTATGAGAGATTTAGTGACCTTGTCGATGCGACCTCTGTCTGGCACCTGCACAACCTCATTGTTGCAAGAAACGGCAGATGTCACAGCCTCAGCAGTAGCAGTCACATTCACAACCCCTAAACAAGACCAAGGGTGATTGAGATCCTGTAAAATCCTCAAATATCAAAACATTTTGTAGCTGAGATGAATCGCACTGATTTCACAGAGATGGAAAAAAGATGTGTTGTGGAAAGAGGGGCAGCAGTTCCTCCACCCTGACTCGCTTTAACCTTCACACCAGTGTGGATGAAAGGCTGAGCCTCACCTAAGGCTGTGGGGTTCATGGTCCAGCTGAGGGTCTTGCGCTCATTGCCACACAGGCAGGATGTGTATTGGTTTCCAGAGAGAGGGGTGAGGGTGTAATCTGAGGAGAGTGCTGGAGTGACTTGGATCTGTTCAAGAGACACAATATATTACCAAACACTTTAACAACACCATTTTACAAATCAAATTCAAGTCAAAGCATACATCTAGAACCTCACCAAAGTCTTTGAGTGTTAAAGTTATTGTGTACTCTAAAGACTCCTCCAATCTTGTTTATTTTGTTAGCATGTCCATATAGTGGGTTTGCATGCTGGAAGGCATAATGAACCTTCAAATTGCAGTGTTTGATGACAGTCTCAGAAACATGGATTCACACTGACAGGGTTTCGTATCCTGTTAACTTGCAGGGTGCAACTTTCTGTATCATTCTTCGTCAGAATAAATTTCTGGATTGATCATGTGTATGGCTGAATTACTCCAATGTTACAAGTTGCCATTGTGTAGAGTACAGCAGGTTTACAGTAGTTTAGCAGAGCAGGGACGCTGGTGTGCAAACAAAATCAAAAATATTAATAGAAAAGTACCCCAAAAATCTAATTGGCAATGGGACACACTATGGAGTAATCCCACTCATTGTGTCAGTTAGAGGGTTAAAGGGTGTGCAGTAAGGAAAGGATTATGACACCCTCATGAAACTTATGACCTCAAATCTAATACTGTCATTTATCACCAGCAACACCATGTTTCTTGAGGTTTACCATGCAGGATGTGTTTCTTAACAACTGTTCATTCTCTAATATGACATTGCCTGAAGATCACAATACTGTCAGTCTTAAGGCAGAACAATGGTGGTTTTGCTATACAGCTCTCTCAGGGTCTCCTGGGTGCTGTGATACGTCTCTTTCAGCTACGTTATCCACCCAGCAGGCTATCCTGAATAGCTGCTCTGTTGAGGCTGTCCTAACCGTAACTCATCCACATAAAAGGCCTAAATTTAATATCTTGAAGTCAAATCATTTAATTTTGACCAAAGCTGATTCAAACACTAGCCCAGAAAAGAAAGCCTGGAAGTCAGAAGTTCAAAATCCAACAACTGAACCATTGTATATATTAAGATACAAAAGCAAATCATGAGGTAGTATAGGGACGAAGAGCTGCAGATGATGTGTGTCGGTCAGTGCATTGCATTTAACTCCCCCAGGTAGTTTCCTCTGCCTAACCCCTAACCCTACACCAGGAAGGGGTAGCTGGAGAGACAAGCAGGGGCTTCATAGATCTGCACAGTGTACAGACAGCAGTCACAAACAGTGCAGGGTTACATTTAAGCCATTTTAAGGCAGGAAGGGATTGTTGTCATGGAAAAAAATTCAAAATATGTAAGTTTGACACAAAGAGATGAGTTATCAAGGGTTTTATCAATGACTATGGAGAGACTTTAAAATTCTCTGTAGCGAATTTAAATAACTGTACTGTTGGTTTTGAAAAAACAATTGTCTTTCAGTAGAAAAAAGACGGCTGAACTGTCTGAAGGTGTATCTTGAAAAATATTGTGTTCCAAACAAAATCAGGTATGAAATTATCAGACCAAATAAAAAGACTTTGCTGAGATAACATAGAATATGATTCAAGATCGACTAAGATTAAATATCAGCAATGGTCATTAAAGTAAATAGCAGGCCACCACACTAAGAGTAGCCACAGTATTGTGTCAGTTCCACTACAGGGTGAGACTTACTGTTCTCTGCATTTAGGTGGAAAAAAATCAGAACATATATCAGTAACTGCAGTTGGCCAAAAATATCTGCACATTGGATATCAGTAAAAATCCAGTATCTACATCCACCCATCCAATTATGTGTGAAACCATCCATGCTCATCACTGATCAATCTCAAGCTAATGGCAGAGTGTTCAATAGCAAAAAGTACGTCGGCCTTTTCCCAGTCTTCTGCAAGCAGAGAAGTACTGTATTAGTCCAAAAGAAAGCCAGAGTTAATGGATACAGTGAAGCAAATTTGGTACATAAATGTATTTTCACCACTGGCTCATCTGGATATTTAGCGACCCTCTGGCTTTTTGTGTTTTTGTTTAAATTTCTGTTTGGCACTTACTTTCGTTAATGACAAACACATACTTGCTAAACTAACTCCTGTGCTTTGTGCTAGTGCTATTTAGCAAATATCCATCCATCCATTATCTATACACCGCTTAATCCTCACTAGGGT